TCTTAGTAGAACTAAGAAAAAAGGAGAAGTAATAGAAATACCTGCAATTTGTTTTCAAAGATGTTCTGAATGAGTTTGGCCATAACAGTCTCTGGGCTGCTGAAGACTTCGCCCACCTGCTTGTTGACTCTCTGGCAGAGGACTGCTGTGTCCTCAAACACATCATTCCTCAGGTAGGCCCCCTAGGGAGACAAACAAAGGGTTAACCAGGAGTCGGTGGATATTACTTACACACAAAAAAGTGGAATGTTTTGTACAAGAGAAACTTTTTACACTCACTTCCTGACACTGCTTGATATAGACGTCCACACAGTGTGCATAGCCCTTCAACAAAAAGATCAGGAAGTTACTTTTCTGCAAGATTACACTGAAGTGCAGTTTTGAAGTTCAGAGACGTAAAAAAAAAAAAAGTGCACGTTATATACTGTTTGAAGCTAGTAACAATCCCAAATATCAAAGACTTATGGTTAGACTAAATGTGGACTAAAGTTAAAATGTAGACGTCAAAACTGATTCTTCCTGGTCACCTTGAAATGCAATAGAACCGCTGCCACCTCCCGCATACGTCCAATCTCACCCCTGCGCTGGGCAGCTGTGAACTCCTGGATTAACTGCCGCTCCAGGTCATGGTACTTACCTGGGTAGTAACGCAAACAAAGACACAAAATAATATTATCATTTGTAGATAACTTCCACTGTATTTGGAATGGGGACATTCATTTTTCTGAAACTTACTTGCAATTTTTGCCTTGACATCTGCAAATCTGTCAGAGGAAAAGATAATGAATCTTCAAGGAAACACTTACAAATGATATAACACTATACTTTTTTATTAATTCATACAGGTTAATGCGTTTAATTTCTTAAAATTAATTAAGTATTTTAATACTTGATATGTCCTGTGCTGGCTTACACTGTGAGGAATAGTCTACATCACTAATACTCCACCTTCCCCTTGTTTGACAGTGCTCTTGTCTAAAGCTGCCTCCAGGATGCCCGACTCACCTGTCGAATGGCAGCTCCTGGGCAATGAGATGCAGCTTCTGAATTATATCAGCAGCCTCCTTAATCTGAAGGAGAGAGAGAGCATGAGCGAGAGAGAGAGAGAGAGAGAGAGAGAGAGAGAGAGAGAGAGAGAGAGAACGACAAGACCATGAGAGGTGGACATCCAGACAGAAAGCTGGCAGGCCTCCGGCGGTGTCTCCACTCGGGGGATCATCATTTTAGAGCTGCCCTTCTCCACCTCCCCATGTTGAACAGGGATATGATAACAGACAGGCTGCGCTCACCTGGGCATCGGCAGCAGCAACAGCAGCAGCAGTCCTGACTTAGCAGCACATCCAACTCTATATTGGCATGCCTTTTCTGAATGGGCTGTAATCCCACTGGAGTCTAAATCGCCTTCAATAATCTGTCCGGCCAGGGATATGTCTTAAAAAAGGGGGCCCTGTCGAGAGCCCCCCTCCCCCCCGCCCCTCCTGACATACACACTGGCTGAAAAAGCCCCAGACCTACGAAAGGCCCGCCGTCCGCAACTCCTCTGTTCCCGCAGATGCCTGCCTCAGCTAACATCATTACTCTGCTCCCGTGAGGAGGATCCAGCCTTTCTGCTCGGCGAAGGTTTTCTAAGTATCTGTCCCCCAGCTAAGATTAGCTAAATCCCATGTAAGTAATGTAGCCGTCTCCCTGCAGTCAGGGTTTAGCAGCACTTGTCTCCACGCTGGCGGCCCAGCCCTCCCTTTCAGAAGGATTAGCAAAGCCATCCCCCTTCAGCTATTCACTTGCAGCTTTCCTCTTTCCCCCTCGTCTGGAGGTATGCTCAGGAAAAAAGGAATCTGACCAGATATTTCTGCATGCCTCTCCGGAAAACTAGCTCCATCTCCAGCTCCCGTCTCTGGGATTGACCCCCAGACTCACTGCTCTGCATCCACTGATGGTGTTACCAACAGGAATTAATCTAAAGCATCCCAATCTTCCTACTGTCACTTAGAAAACTGCAAAATCAAACTTTAATGGGTCACTTGTCTAACATCAACATGGTCCCTGTGTAGGCAGGAACTAAGTAAAAGTGTGCAAGTCATCTTCCTGCATGCATGTTATCACCGCCCTTACATGTACCATAATGCCACAAGCTCTTCGCCGCTGTAATGCGCCACAAAGCTGAGGACCAACCAAATTCTCGCTCCCAGACAACCTTCTGTAAATGCAATTAGGGTTGACATGAGCATGTTGACATCCATGCTAGTCAATCATCCAGCTATTGTCAGACAGCAAATGACAGTTTATTAATCCAAATTAGCCCTGGGATCCAACTAAAGGGATAAACTTGACAAATTAATATGGATGGTTTACCTCATAATCCTGTTCATTCTCACCTCCAGCTGTGTCACAGTGGGGGTCCTCGTCAATGGACACACACACACACCTCCACTAAAGAGAATGGAAGGTGTATGCAGAATACTCACCTTGTCGGGGTTATTGAAGACGTCACTGCGTAGGTCCCCATCCAAGAACTCGTTGAAGTAGGTCATTAGACGTTGAGCTTCCACGGCCCTCTGTCGAGGCGTGTTCACCCCCTCCAGCTGGTCGCCAAGGTGGCAGACCTTAGTCGCCACATAGCTTATGTGCTCATCGAGCTCCTGGAAATGTTGAAAGGCCACCTGCGTAGACAAAGAGCCGAGGCAATGTATAGAAAAGATAAAGCCGTACTGTAACGTGATGAATAAAACAACAACCTAAAGCTCAAAGACATTGAGGTACGTGCGATTGGCTGCTTGACCATACAACCCACCTGGTTGCTTCTTTGCAAATCTTGCACTTTGTGGGCAAATTCCTTGGCCTCACGATGACACTGATGCTCAAGCTTCTCCACTCGCCGCTGGATCTTCTCGTCCAACTGCTTCAGCTCTTCGATGTGGTTCTCAAATTCTTCCAACAGCCTATCACAGAGGAAAGACAGGCTGTAGATCCAGAACTTCACATTGGTCTTACCAACATACACTACAGGTAAAACACACAGACAATGGCATTGCTCTGGAGGAGTAATTGGGTACCACAAGGTTAAATCCGTCCCACTGAACGCACAGTTATAGTTATAGTTAGTTACAGAATAGTGCCGGAGGCTTTACTCCTGGGTCCCCAGGCTTAAGAAGCTCTGAAAACTAGCTACTTCGTCAGCTGCATTTTAAGTGCCATCAGGACGGCAGCGCAAATGTTCTAAGTCAGCACCACATTTCACAGACTAGGAAACATCCCAAAATGATGAGTGTATAATCTCTTGACTAATTCCCTCTGCACTGGCTACAGCTTAAAGACATCTCCCATCCCTTCCCAATAGACACTCATTCACTGACTGGTGACTCACAGTATGGTGGCCTCCACAGATATGTTGTCTCTGACTCTTCTCTAAGAGCTTCAGAGGAGGTGGTGGCAACAGTTTTGTGGAGGGAGCAGATAAGGCAGAATGGATCCACAGTATAGTTAAACTCTTATGGCATTTTTGCTTGCGAGAAGTAACTCGGTCCTCAATTGTAAGCACAACAAGCAGTGAAAATACCACGAAACAAAATCTTGAACATAGATGTTTCCTGTATTTCTCCAACCCAACACGTAGCATATAAGAGACCAAGATGACAGCTTTAGCAAGCTGATACTGGAGGCTGAAAATATAAAAATAAATCTTGATTTATTTTGGAAGACTTTCAATATAGTATTACGTTTGGAAAGCTGAATTACATTTATTGCTCCCAACCCCTTTAAAAGCTGCCAAGAAATGCAGACAAGAGCTGTACTAAGTGCAAGATCACAATATAATCTGAATAGATATGGGCATTTTTTTGTTTATTAGCATGACTTGACCAGACAAAGACAAATATCTTAATGTCAACATCTAGTCAACTTCAGTGAAAGGAAAAGACGTGGAATTGTGGAATAGGCCAGGAAGGCATCATTAAGTCATTCTAAGAAAGAGCTCCGTGTTAGAGATGCTCAGCTGTGTTACACTGTCAGCAGACATGAATGGAAACGCTGCATTGCCCTTCAAAACAATATTGTTTGCAACAGAAAACAAAGCAAGCAATTTTAAAGAAATGTGCTCGTCACTGAGCTAAATGTACATCATGTAAGAAAATAAAGAAAAACAATGCAACTGTTGGTGTGTTTTTAAACTATCACAAGACAGCAAATATGTAGGGAACCAGGGGACACATTGGCAGTGATATTCACCAAACTGAGGTTAAAACATGGCGTATGATATTCTACTGATTGACAGACTCATGTTCATGTGTACAGTAAAGGTGAGCGATATGCACCTACAGTACCTTTTGGGGTCAAATGCCTCGGCTCCTCCTTTGGAGCCTCCCCCTGGTGTCCTCCATGCCAACCTTTCAATGTACTCGTCTGCATCAAAGGGCTCCTGAGGGGCGAGAGGAAGTAGTGAGTGCACCGATCGTTGCCCCCACACAATAATAACATCAGCAAAACACCAGCTAAGGACCCCAAAAGATAGAAGAACAATAGACTTGACCAACAAACGGTAAGGTTACACGAATAACCTGCACCCTACTGTGGCGTTTTACAGTCTTCTAATAACATTGACCTCACCCCGAATAGCTCAAAGGACTATATTTGTCCCTATTCTCTCTATCTTATAACTGACCGTTAAGCTACCGTTAATGATAGTTAGCAACCTAGTGTTAGCTAGCCTGACGGCTAACACAGCTCCCCGGTGCAGCAGTCATTTTACCTCGAACAGCTGCGGTGTTGTCGCCATGTTCCAGATTCAGCGTAGTGAAATGCAATTTAGAGGAAGGCTCTCCGAGTCAACAATACCGCCGACTTCCACATGGATTTACCGATTTCGTACAGTTTCGCCCTTTGTTGACAGCTAGCGTTGGCTGACTAGCAGTCCGGCTTCCTGTATGGGTGGAGAAGGGTGGGAATAAATGGTGGCGAGTGCGCAAGCGCGGATGTCGCGTGATTGGTGGTTGGTGTCACATGAAACAGCAGCAGGAAGTAAAAATGCAGCGTTGATCGAATTCATACGGAACATTTGAATTTAACAACTGCACGATAGGATGTGAATATTAATATTGAAGTCACATTGTAGTCTGTGAATAGAGGACAGAAGTGCAGCCGGACAAATGAGTGTGCGTGCTTTGTGGATCATTTCTCACGAGAAGGGAGAAAATGTGTCAATACGCTTTACAAGGTAACGTCATGTGATTTTAATGGCTTTTCCTGTTTACAATAGTGTTGAGTGTAGTGTAGCCACGCTATAATCTCGTAAAAGCTCCGCTGTGCTCACTGCTGGCAGCCTAAAGTATTTTGTAATATAATGTCTTGTGTATCTCCCCCCACAGGAGGTTTGCTACTGTGGAGCACCGTGCAAAGAGCCTGGCAGGTTCCTCATATGTGGCAGTCCCAGAAGACTACAGTGTGCTGCAGCTCCTGCTCACTGAGATGGGACTTTCAGACTCGGACAAGTACTATGTAGCTCTCAGAGATGATTGCCTTCATCGTCAGCGATCACCAGCCCTGGAGCTGCGTGTGGACGGTCCTGGAAAGGGAATACTGTGGCCAGTGTTGGCCATCTCACACGGGCCTCTGACCCTAGCTTGCCTGCCTATAGTGGATGCCCCCGCTGAGCCACGGCCACCCCTTGCCAGCCTGCTGTCTGTCTCCCAGGGCCTAACACTCTTGGCAGGTCTGCAAACTTTTCTTCTTGGCTCTGGGGGAAAGCCTGATAACGAGGGTCTGGCCTCTCGCCTGGCCATTCTGCCATCTGTACTCTTACAGGTTTGTCCACTTGGCACACCCCTGGATGTGCCACTTTTGGGGGCACCTGCTACATCCACAGTGCCTACTCCTGCTGGGAGCCAGAAGCAGCCAGCCTGGAAGACGGGGCTCCACCGCGGTCGAGCTGTGGTGAACGTAGCACTGAAAGAAACAGTGCGCTCCATGCAGTATGGTGACCGGAGCAGACAGGACCTGTGGGATGTTTATGGCACTGTGACATGCAAAGTAACAGCACAGTGTAAAGGAAAGCCAGTAATGTTCTATCTGTCTTTGCCTGTTTTTATTCTTTTCCTTTATTCCACTCTTTTGTCTTTCTGTTAACAGTGTGAAGTGGAAGGCATGCTCCCAAATGTGACAGTGACCCTCACATTGCCACCAAATGGTTCTCCACTACAGGACATCCTGGTCCATCCTTGTGTCACCTCACTGGATGCTTCTATCCTCACTGACAGCAGTGTGGATAACTGTGACGGCTCAGCTTTCTCTGGACCATACAAGTTCCCCTTCTCTCCTCCTCTGGAGCCATTCAGACTATGCAGCTATACATCTCAGGTATTAAACATACAAACAAACAAACATACTTATCATCCCACACATTACTGTTAATGTCATAAATGAATCCTACAATATTTCATTAGGTCCCTGTTCCTCCTATCCTCGGTTCGTATCAACTGAGGGAGGAAGAGAACCAGCTACATGTGTCAGTGACCCTCAAACTTCACGAGAGTGTGAAGAACAGCTTTGAGTACTGTGAGGCACACCTGCCATTCTTTAACAGGTATGAAGCACAAGAGGATGTAATCTTTCCTGAGCCCCTGCCAGTGTTTGTTTCCTGTAGAGCAAAGAGGTTCATGAATGTTCCTATGATAAATACATGAAGTTCTGCCGAGACGGCATTCTGTTTTAATGCCTGAGAATAATAAATTATTGATATAGAATTTGGATAGTAATCACATCTAATTTAAAAGTAGGTAAGATATTTGTTTTGACTACTAATGCATATATTTACTAGCTATGCAGGCAAACTAATGTAGAATTAATTCCAGCTGGCAGTCAAATACAACCATCAATTAGAGATTTGCTTTTTAAAAACTGCTACTAACATTGGAAACACTACTTATTACACGATTGACATATCATTGAATATATCTATTGCTGAGAAGATTTTGTTTCAGTATTAATTTGTTTTGTTTTATTGTGTCTCATGTGGGCCTTTGTAATATGGAACAAAGCCGTCCTGAATGCTTGTTTAACCTGGCCAGTTTTCTTTGCAAAACACCTGTACTGGTCTCACTAAATAACTCACCTGAGTTGAATTAATGAGTCATCCAACAGCCAAGTAATACCCCCAATAAAACAAAGTAAACCGGATAACCTAATCTACAAGTCTCAAACTCAACTCCATCATGTGATAAAATACTCCTCCCACACAATTTACAGAAATGTCCCAGAGAGGTTGCACTACCAACCCTTAAAACCATCTATTTTAGCAGTAGACCATCCTGTTGTCCTGTTCTTTCCCAATACACCTACAGTACACTGTCCCTGTGGGTTTTCTTGTAGAGCAGAGAGGATACAATCTGAAGTGATTGAACCCAACCACTTAAATCAGTATGTGTGCACTAACATCTGAATGTGGGCTCTGCGTCTTGTGCAGGGATCAGATGGGTGTTGTGGATGTGAAGGTGAGCTCTGGACAAATGGACGTTTCAAAGGAGAAGAACCTCCTGGTCTGGGGCCTGGGTAGGCACTGTGCTGCTGTTAAATGTTTAAAAAAATATCACATTAATGCAGCTGTATATTTGAAATTGATACTAATGAGTAGTTTTCCTCTCACTGATATTTAGGACAAAAGTTCCCTAAATCTCGTGAGGTCACAATGGAGGGCAAGATCAGCTTTTCTGGGCCGACGCCAGGACCCACTGACCCCATTTGCACAGAACTTATAGCCTATATCAAAGTAAGTTAATATATGTGTGATATTCAGAAGCCTGATTAAAATATCTGGGATTTATGATCCAGTTTGTTTATTTACACCTCCAGCATTTTGTAGCAATTTGTAAACAGCTAATGGGATACAGTAAAATGGAATTTATTAATATATAATCATTGTGTTGTGAAGTGTTTAACACTCCCATTGTTATCTTCACAGTTGTATTTCAAAGTGCCTGACATGACGCTCTCTGGATGCTGTGTTGACCAGCATTCAGTGCAGGTTTATTCCTCTGCCAAACCACGGATTATAACATGTAAGCTTACAATAGTTTTCCGATCAAAATGTTTGCTGTATACACATTTTCTGGCACTAAAAAAATGTTCTGTCTGGTTTACTTTCAGCCCGAGAACTTCAATCCAAAGAGTACTTCATATGGAATTCAACTGGAACTGCTCCGGTGTCCTCTGGGCCGATGATGCTGTAGCACGGATACATTAAGAGCAGCTCAGTGCTCGGGTCACTGTAACGTAACAAGACTGAAAACTGTTGAGCAAATACTGTACAGTGATCCAGACTAGATATGTGACCCCATAAAACATGTTACTATCCTGTTGTTACTGCAGAGCTCACAAATGATAGAACATTTAGATAGCATTACAAATAATTAATTGATATAATCATGTCATCATTTTGCTTTCATTCAGTACAGCTCACAATGTGCAAACTTTCACTGACAGAAGTATTGATTTTGTTGATGGGTGGATACTTAAAAAACAACAACAACAACAACCTGTTCTTGTAGTCCAACTTCTTTTATTCCCCAACCTTCACCCTCCCTCAAATTTATCCCACTGCAGACACAAGAGCCACCCCTCGCTCCGACAGTCCCACTTCAGTGACTCTCTATCAGCCGGATAATTAGCAGCTGGGGCCTTGTCATCAGCTGTTGTGGGCCTGGAAGAGAGGGGCGGCTGGGCTGTGAAAGGCCAGGCTGCTCTGGCCAGTGCCTTGGCTACAAAAGACTCCTCTTTTAGAGCTGGCAGGAGTCCTTGCCCCCTTCACCAATCACTCCCCCACCCCTTTTGAACCCATCCCCGCCCTGTCAACTAGTGGCTAGTTCAAACACTCAACCTCTCCAGCCAGACTGTGATTGAGCGCTGACCCTCTGGCCCTCTGAGACTTAAAAAGCAGCCGGCCCCATTCAGAGAGAAGGACCTGCCTAATTGGTGAAAAAGTCACAAGAATGGAAATGATTGGGTCGCCACCAGGTTGCATAAGTGCTTTAAATTAATTAATGTAGAACTTTTAGTATGTTATTTTCATTGATATTGTAATAACACAGGTGTCAGTGCAGTATTATAATCAATATTCAATTCATTTACAAGTATAGTATTTAACGAGGGGCATGTCGTTCCACATGTTTCTCACTGTTTTTTTTTTACCTGAACTATGATGGGTTTCATACTAACTCGGTTACATTTCTACTGTGAAAGCTCCACCTCAGTGTATTAAGGTAAATGAATAACCAGCCGATGAAGGGTTAAATCAAAGAAGATTGTGCCCCACTACTCCACAGCAGCCAGACTCCTCTGAGTGCCCTCATTGTGTGCTGTTGGCCTCTTGTGCCCCTTGCTGGTCCAAATGCTACATTCTCACGTGGATTTCCACTCAGAAGGCTGACCATGACCAATCCTCTGTCAATTGGAACCAATTGCTCACACGGCATCCTTCACCTTCTTTTTATGTAGCGGTACGGAGTGGCAGACACCGAGACCTCTCGGCTCTCCCCCTGCACGATGATTTGGCTTTAAGGCCCAGTGTGTATGGCTAGCGAACTGGAAAAGGAGACGTTTTTTTTTTTTTTTTTGAAGAGTTGGGCCACTCTAAATCTCTTCAGTTTCCCAATATGTGGTCGGTCTGGCTCCTCAAGTCTGCAGTCAGTGGCCTCTCACTGGCTGACTTTGCTTTGTTGATTGAATGGCTTGCTAAGTAGATGGACTCGTTTTAATGTGTTGTTCTGCTCCGTGCCTTCAGCTCATACCTTTGGGTCTTTAGTTCTACGCAGTTTTTCAGAATCATTCATTATTTATTCATTTCATCATTTTTTACTCTTGTATACACACATACAAAAAAGGGATTAACACTTTTGTACAATAATAACACAGGCCAAAATACATTTGTGAAAGTAAAGTAGCACTGTGGATTGTCAGAAATAATGTTAATATATCACAGTGTTGCATAGCCTTACATGCTCAAAATGAACTTTCATACCAAAACATTAACTACACTATTATAAACACTGCAACTGTTATCCACCTGACTGTGGGACTGTACTTCTGTGTCCCTTAACCCAATAATGACACCCAGTGGTAGAGTACAATAAAGTCCATGTTCGACCTTTGATTTCTTTAATACACTTTAATACTTATTTCATCTATTGAAATCATTTTACTCAACCACTGCCAGATAGTCTTTGCTTGTTTAATTCCCCCCACGCCCCCTCTGTGCGATGAGATCCCAGCAATGTTCATCTAAGGCACCGTGCCTGAGGACCAGGCTTTTGTTGGCCACTGTGGCCCCCAGGTGTTTGATTGGAGTCCAGTTCTTCTCGGCCTCTCTAAACCCGCTAAGAGCCGGCCTCAAGGGGACCGCTTGAAGAACGACGGTGCAATTAGCTGTTTCCTGTTTTCAGACTAATTATTCTTCAAGAGCCACAGGTCTTCTCAAATAGTGGGATATCGTTATACTGAGGGATTCTTTAGTGCTAATTTCTATAGCAGATGCCCAATAATAGGGCAGAAGCTTCAAAGCTGGCTGAGCTGAATCTCAACTCTTTGAACTAAATATAAAATCTATTTTTGGATGTTTGCTATCAATATTGTAGTAAGGCTGCATGAGCTTCAGACTCACTGCCTCGACAGCAAGTGTTCTCACTGCTTTCACCCATAGAGGGCATCATTCACTCAGACATGTAGGAAGTATCCGGAGCACATCAAGAGGTTTATTCATATTGCAAGTTGGTTGACTAAGTGTTCTTAGTCCAGCTCATTGTCTCAGATCCCTTATGCACCTTTTATCCATGCTGTCTGACACTTTCTGGCAGACTCCAGCCACATCCATCTGTGTGTTACCCGTCTTCTGTTCTCACTACTTCCCTTTCAGTTCTCCTTGATAAGTCTTTTGTTTACAGACTGTCTTTCCTCTCTGTTTCTGGGACCAAGAGCTCGCTCTGTCTGGATCCCGTCTTTTCCACGGCACAGGAGCTGTGTCTTTGGCTGGTTAAGGTGTCTTTCTTCAAAGAGTTGAGGCAGAGATTTTGGGTCCCGAAGACAGCTGGGGTCCAGACTTTCTCCTGTGGTCTCATCCCAGAAGATATCCCTCTCTGTGGGCCTTCTCACAAGTTTCAGCCTCTGGATGCCTTCTGTATTTGTGTGGTGCAGGGTAAGGGATAAAAGTCAGCGGAGGCTATATCCTTGCCGAAGCCAGCTACTGATCACCTGACCAACGATGAGCTGGCAGCGACTATTCATTTGACCAAGGTGGTAACTCATGTGTCCCACCTAGTATCAAGCTTGCTTGTTAGATTAACAATTCATAGTCTTACCTTTAACTGAGTAGACAACCTTATGTCTTCTCTGCTCTCTGGCACGTCGGAGGTGAACTCGCGGATGCCGATTAGCCTGTTGAGTGAGAGCTGTTTGGGCCTCCGGGAATCCTCCCTAGAAAGACCACAGTCAAGACACCAGTGGTGGAAAGTCCATTTGGTACAATTCTTAGGTAACACTGCTTGTACTTCACTTGAGTGTTTCCATATTATGCTACTTTTTACTTCTACTTCACTACATTTCAGAGGGAAATATGTTGTTTATTATTACTATTTTACAACACTTATTTTTATTTATTTTTTTACTCCTCTACATTTATTTGACGGGTGTAGTTACTTTTCATACTTAGATTTTACATTTTAAAAAATGACAAGCTTATAAAATACAATGCATTGTTACAGATTAGACCATACTCAACCTTTTTGGCTTGTGTCCCCTTACAAAGAAATTGTGTCGAGTGCCAGATGTCTATCAGTTGTTGGCAGTCCCACAAAAGAGATTCTATATGATACTTATGTACTTTTGTAGGATTTTGAAAGCAGGATAAAAGATCTTTACGATGTTGTATTGGTACTTTTATTTAGGTAAAGACGCATATACACAGTGCATTACAATACATGCTTTGTGGGATTTGTAGTTTAGTTAATATATTTCCTGGACTGACGTAATTTCAAAGCAAAGCATTCATGTGACTGTCAAGACTATACTTTTGTTTGTGTCTAAGACTGTGTATCTAATAGTGGGGGGTTTTCTGTTCCCTGTACCCTGAGAATAGATCCCATTGAGGGCCAGTCATGGCTGTAGACCACCCTACTTTCCACTCCACCAACACTTTAATCAGATACACCCCCCCCCCATCTCTCGCAAACACGGCTGCACACTTTAATTTTGCCTCGATTATAAAAATGCATGATCTGAATTATTTATGTTATAGATGCACTTCAGCTCTTCCGTACTTTGTCATGAAGCTATACCTGAATCATTCTGCCGGAGCCGATTGTAGAAAACAGGTGGACACCCCCATCTCTGCAGTCCCTGCCCTACAACAAACATCAAATTCCTTATTGGGTTATGAGATGGCATGGGGTCGGTGACGCTGGGACAGTCAGCAGTGACATGTTTCTTTGTTTTATTACCATCGCAATTTGATTGGCAGTGCTTGTGTGGCCAATTTGAAGGGCCAGTGGTAGCAGTGTCTGAGGAAAGATAATGATGGCATGTCTGGGTAAAACTCACAACCAGTCAGGAACAATAATGCAGAGTTATGTCTGCCAGCATGGGATTGAACAGATGAGATACGTCTCGCATGAATCAGACAACAAGAATAGCCTGTTATCGTTAATACAACTATATTGGGCAGGTGATTTTGCCCTTGCTAACCTGGGGTCTTCGGGGTGGATGGGAGTGAATGATGCTTGAATTGTTACGTTGCTTTGGTGGGAGGTTTCCTGCAAAGTATGGTTCTTACAGCACACACATGCCAACACTGTTATACAGTATCAGAATCAGTATCACAGCACAGAACGGTCTGTAAAAAATAATAAAAGCCTGAATGTGAATTCATAATTAGAGCCAGGAGACGTACTAACCTGAGAGTGTGGAAAGGGTTGTTTCTTGTCTCAGTGGAGGTAAGATCGTCTTCCTTTGTCCCAAAAATCCTGCCGGCTGCTCCACAGTGACTGGCAGAGCAGGGAGGGTCCATTGTGGTTCAAGTTGTGCCCCCTCTTCTTGCAGGCTATTACATGGAGCTACTTTACGCAGCCTGGGTCTGGAGCCTGTGGAGCCCATTGTCTCACACCCTGTCCGAATGCTGTCAAACTGAAATACTAAATTCAACTTTGAGATATGAAAAACTTAGTTAATCTTTCTACAAATTTAAAAAAGTTATTTTTTACACTTACTCCCACCTTTTTAAGGTCTTCTCATCAGACATGTAGATTCTATCTTTTGTAGGTCCACTGGTTTTATTAACTTTTCCCATGAAGTGGTGGATTCCCTTTGTATTTTTGGCCTTCCCTATTAAAAACTTTGTCAATTGCAGAAAGACTTCATGTTTAAAATCGACTCTCTAACTCGCCCCATTTCTTCCAGCTGCTTCCAAACAAACCTGCGTGGTCTTCACGTCTCTCCTGCTGGCGAGCTTAATGTTTGTCCTGAAGCATCTCTGTCTGGTGCCAAAGTACAAACGAAAAAAAACCCACTTCTGGTAGTGGTTAAAAAAAGTAGGTGTGCACTTAATCTCTGCCTTCATACTTGCCATCATTGTAATGAGCTAGGTTTCTATGGCAACTCTCCCTACAGGTTACTCTGTAACTCATAAGTTAATGCTTGAAAGAACCTGTTATGTCCCGGCACCCTTTCCATGTTGGAAAGCCCAGAGGGGTGAGGAGAGAGACAAGTTCTTTAGGAAATTGTTAACTGACAGAAAAATGTAACTTCATGAGTACTCAGAAAACCACGGGGGGGGGGGGGGGGGTAGGCAAAGACGAGTCATTAGGCTGCATGTCAGTTGTCCAGGTTGTATCAGCCCTTTACATACAATACTTTACTTATCACTACTAGAGCTTAAAAATGCGACCTCTGTTGTTCTTTGTTGGTGTAGTTAGTATGTGTTTGGTCGGTCGGTCCATTACTTTGGTCCAAACTGCAATTTTTGGGATGGAGTGTGGTCAATCATCGTTCCATTAGGGTGTATCTTACTGACTTTGGTAATCCCCTGTATATTCTTCCTGCTCACAATTTCTGTCAGTTAAAAACTTTGGTTTATGACAGAATGCCTGCAAAACTAATAACATTCCCATCAGCCTCCGCTGTACTTTGGATTTAGTGCCAAATATCAAATCTTAGCGTGCATTGTGTTCAATGTCGAGCTGAAATCAACAAACTATTTGGATGTAAATGTGTGTGTGTGTGTGTGTGTGTGGGGGGGCTTGCTTATCAGCATCCAGCAGACCTACTGTATCATGAAGTTAAGATTTGAACATTACACATTCCTCTGCTTCTTCTACGGTAGCTCATTTATTTTAATATGTTAAAATGCCACTGCGTGCGGTTGCTAAGCTGAAAGCGTCACCTCAGCAAATGCTTCATTAGAGGTTTCAACTCAGTGACTGCACTCCAGCAACCATAAAGCCACTGTGTTGTTAGACTCTTGGGAGTGCGCATGCATGTGTGTACGTGTGTGTGTTTGACAGTGTGTGTGACAAAGAGCGATGTTGAAAGACTGAGAAATTATTCTCCTGACACCTCATCATCTCAATAGCACTATTTGAAATAAAATGTAAATGCCACCATGTTATGAGACACTATAAGTAATTTAGACAAAGTGCCTATCACCGTGTTATGCTTCACAGGTAAAAAATATCCCATGGGCTTTTTTACAGGCAGATAGGTAGGCTGTGCAATATTACCACATATTGTGTGAATATGTGAAAGAGGATAAATCATAGTAGAAACAATCATTCTCAATCTTCTTCAGTTTACAGTGCATGGGTGTGTATGTGTGTCAGTAAGTGACAGCTAAGTGCAGCACAGAAAAGCATTGCATAATTTATTACGATGAGGAGAAGTCATCGCTGCCAAATCAATACAATGCACTTAACAGATTACTAATATTGTATGAACCTCACCGCTTAGTTCTGCTAAAAATATCTGGTCTTGATACAAGGTATATTTTATATGTATATTATATGTTTGTGAAACTTTGCAACATCATTAGCATTGTATGCATTCTTGTCAACGTTGATTTAGGCAACACAGAAATTATTCAGAAATCTAAAGATGTTCCAATATATTGTTAGAAAACTCAGGAATTAGCCACATTGATGGTCATTAGGTAAACAAGTAATGCACTGCTAATGTGAGTTTTAAGTCTTTTATTATAAAACCAAAAGAGCCTGTACATCACGCAAAGTATAATTGCCATTCTTTTATATAATACTAATCAATACGACTTAAAATAATACTCTTATTGATACAACTCTAAATAAATATCATAAATACATATAAGATTGAGCCAAATTGGCCCTGCCAATATTTATATTCACAGAATACAGTCCACAGATCAGGTCAGGGGAGGCCAGGCTCTTGCTGTGGGTACGTGCGAGGAACAGGACTGAGTGTGGCAAGTATTTTAAGAAAGTAAATAACACTTTCCACCCTTTCAATTAAAATCCATGAATGTTGTCCTTTTCCCCTCCTGCAGTGAAGCTGGAGACAGAGGTGCATCTCCAGAGTCTTCCTGATAGAGAGTCCATGTGGACCGAACATCCCGCCACACCCCCTGGGTGGGCAATGGAGGAACATGAGCAGACAGGGCTTGGTTAACAGAGGCTACTAGCAGAGCTCAGCCATGTCATGCCAAGGGAATGGAGACAGTGCCGTTGGCTCGACTGCGGCTTCGAGTCTGGACGCTGGACTCTGTTAGCTCCTCGCCATGTTCCTCTGACTTCTTGTCTGCGATGGTGGCCAGGAAACGCAGAGTGACCGAGTCCCACTCCTCTGGCAGCAGCAGGAGCAAGAAGCCCAGGCAGATGATGCAGGTGGCTGCCAGGCGCACCACACTGAAGATCACCTCGTGTTTCAAAACATCTACGGCTACAGCAGGTGAAAGAAAGACAGGAACAAAAGAGAGAGCCGAAGAGCAGGACAGGCGGGGGGGAGAAACAAAAACAAATTGAGATTAATTACATAAAGTAAGATAAACCACAAGACTCTGCGGCTGCAGGGGATGAGTGTAGCAAATGCGGCTTATAATCCGCACAAGCCATCCACTTTATCCTCTATGTCTCTGCGGTCTGGAGCCCTGGGACAAGGTGCCGTAACCCACTGACCTTCATACGGTCCATCGTGGTTAAAGAAAAGAACTCGTCTGCAGGCATTTAGTGTTGCCTTTGCAACCTGATCCTCCCTCAGCGAGAGAATAGTTGCAGGTTCTGTTGAAGCACATTGATGATTGGGTTTCCAGGACGAGAGAGGCAGACTTGCTGTGTAATCTGTTTGCTATAGAGGCCCAAAGTGCTGACCTCTCAACAAAAAATGTGTGGGGCCATTTACTCTCATTTTCACAATCATATTAATTTCCACCATAATAAACAAGAAATAATAATCAGTAGATTAGAGTACTTGAGCCACATTAACAAACCATACCTGCATTGCCCGGAACACTGAGCAGTGTCCCTATGGAGATGAGAATGGGGTACGTCAGCACCACACCAACATGGACCAAGATGTTGAACACTGTGAAAGACACCAAAGAGGTTGAAAACATTGTAGTACGATTTAATTAGAATGGATACAACTGGTCAATTAATCAATTAGTTGATTTACAGAAAGTTATTTGGCAACCATTTTGATAATTGATTATTCATTCAATTCATTTTTTTCAGCAAAAATGCTGAATAGTCACTAATTCTTTCTTCTCAAATGTGAAGATTTTCTTTTTTTCTTTTTTAGTCCTCTATGATAGTAAGCTGAAAATGCTCTAGTTCTGGACTGTAGGTCAGAGAAAACAAGCCATGTTTCCACCGGGGCTCGGCATATTTATAGACCAAACCACAGGGTACTTTGTGGAGTTTTTATTCATAATAGGGAGCAATGTTTTTAGTCGTGAGTCCCCATTTAGTTTAAATCATGCACATGCACACACGATGCGTGGCAGTGATAAAAAATAGCTATTAGCTGCAGCCCCAAAATGAATTCAAAATGCTTTCATAGAAACCCACTCTTCTCTCTACATGAATGTTCATGCACTCTCACCCAGCCACAGTCCTGCCAGTCCACACAGGTAACCCCAGGGCAGCGAGGACAGTGAGCCCCAGTGCTCTACTTTGGTAAAGTAGAGGATGAGGGGCACACAGGAGATGAAGATGAGATTGAAGAAGCCCATGGTGGAAAGGAAGTGAGCCACTTCTCCGATGTTGGCACTGCCCAAGAACATCTTAAACAGCACCTGGACGATGAGGAGACAACTGTTAATTTACACCGGTGACTTTACTTAAAGTCGGTGCAAAGGCAATCACCCAAGCGATTCAAACTGTAACGTGGTCTAACCTTGTAGAGAGCGGATGTGGAGGCGGACCCCACAGCCAACGCTACGCCCACAAAGGAATCCCCATGGAAGCCGTCAGCATAAGCCATCATCACAATACCTGTGATGGCCATGATGGCTGCCACAATCTGCAGATAGAGATGCAGAGCTGTCAGTGGCATTGATACTCCTCAGGAGTAAGAAAAACAACTCTTTACATCTCATTATCATCGTTGGTGTTTTCATACAGACCCGAACACCCATGAAACGGTCCTTCAGAACAATCCAGGACAGGAGAAAGACGAAAGCCTTGTGGCAGCAGTAGAGGGCAGAGACATCAGTGGCGGTCAGTTTCTTCAAGGCCATGAGGTACAGGTAGTTGGTCAGTGTCCATAGGATTGAGAAGGGTGCTGTTCTCTTTACGAAAAGCTTGAGAGTCATCCCATCCTCCCCAAAGAGCTTGCTGCACTCCCTGTTTGAGAGAACAAGAGGTGTAAAAAAAGTGATTCTGTCAACCTGTTTTCCTCTCGGAACAGCGTCTTTGTTTGTCAGGCTTTTAGTGTTGCCATCATGAGGACCAAGTTTTGAGGATGGAAATGTTGGTTGCTTAGTTGCCTGGTTCCTCGTGGAGAGTCAGGTGGTTTAAAAGGTGTTTTAGGTGAGTGCAAAGAGCAGCAAGGGCTCTAGTAGACCGCCATTAGAGCTTTAATGGTTAACTGGTAACTGGATTACTGTTCTACAAAGTTAAAAGTGGGATTATTACTTTATTTTGCTAAATATAAACACAACAAGACGACTATTTCTCTTTATTTTGGTGACGAACTTCATTGACACATCTCTAAATCTTCTGTCTGTCGGCTATAGCTCTTTTACATAGCAGTAACAATAACTGTAGTGTATTGTAAAAGGTTCTCAGGAATCTATTTGGCCAGATTGTAAATGTTTTCTGAATTGAAGGATAATTTTGTTTGCAGTTTACCTGAATTTCTGTATGGGCGTCTGCTTCTCCCGTGTGGTAACCACAAGTCCGGAGTAGTAGATGGGGAAGAAGAAGATGTTCCAGTTGCTGCTGAACCAGGAGATGAAGAAGGGACAGGAGAACGACTGGAAGGTCAGCTTAACCACCTGAGTGGTACCCACCCAGGAGGAGGAGACACACAACACCAGCAGCAGACCACCCAGCACCTTCAGAGCTGTGTTGGTACATGTCTGATAGGACTGGCTCTCTTCGCTGGTCTCGCTGCCTGGTGTCTCTGCATTAGACTCTGAACCATCCTCTCCTGATGGGAGACAATAGGAGAAAAGACAATAACAGAAAATCCATGGCACCATCTCTACTTCCTGTTCAAAGGCCAATGAGAGAAGAAAGCCTCAACTATTAATCTATTTGCCGCTTACATGTTGCCTCCATCTAGATTCTAATTACAAGATCTCAATGTTTTTTTTAAGCCATTCATGATCCCCAGAAGATAAACGTGATCTCCCTGACCATGGTTGACATTTTTAACTTTAGTTAAACTTTTTGACAGCCATTTGTGGATCCATGGTGACAAGAGGATGAAGCCCACGGGGATCACCTGACTTTTCCTGTCGTCTCACCATGAGGTTCACATTTAAATGTTAACATGCTAAACTTAGATGTAAACATTAAACATGCTTAACATCAGCATGTTAGCATTGCCATTGTGACCATGTTAGCATGCCTACATTTAGCATTCATGTCCAAGACCAATGCCATAGATTTGCATAAGTACAGCCTTACAACAGTGTTCCTAAATCATTTATATTAGCCTAACGTTGCACATTCTGTATATTCTTTGTATTCCTGTACATACAGGATGAAGCTTGTGTCTCCCTGGCTGAGGTCCAGCACATAAGCATCTATTGATCAACTGCCTTAGTGATCACTATCACAGTTTGCATGTCCTGCTGTAAAGGCGCTGATGCATGAGGCAAGGCTTTGATAAAAATGTGTTGGGTTAGCATTGTGGCTGTACATGTCATAAATAGCTTTGACACCTCATGATGCAGCACGTACTGTAGGACTACACGCATTGTAGTCAGGTGTGCACAGAAACCTGAGTAAACCTAACCACATGACATTCCACAGGAAAGTCATGTCGACCTTGGCAGCCCCTGTTTGGACTGTTGGTACATTACTGCTATGGAAATGTTGCCTTTGTGACATACTGGAACATAGAGTAACTGGGAAAGAGGTATGGTCTCACCAGACATATAACACCAAAATTACATAAATATAGATAAATAAATGGGATTTTATTCTGATCTAATTTTATGCCAGTGACGCATGGTTGATCTGGCCCAGTGCCTTTAAAAGGTTAATGGACTGCGGGACTGAATGGCTTCCTCAACAGCGCTGAATAATATGTGAAGTGCTGTGTGTCTGAGCATTTCCGAAGAGAACTCAGATCCGTTCTTTAACTTTCGACAGTGTGATCAATTTTCACTGGGGCAGGAATAAAAGATGACATGTGCTGGATGTTTGCTGCCTGTGCTCTCTCTGCTAGCTCAGCACGTGAAGCTCGGCCATTTCCACCATGGCCACAGACACGAGAGCCCTGCGAGCACTGGAACTTGTACCCGTAGTATCACCCCTCTACAGTCGCAGGGCATCTCTGGGATGCTCCTTATTCCATCTGATAGTCTTTTGTTTGTTAACTGCCATGAGACCTCAGCAGAAAACCAAGAAATGAGAGTAAAAGTAGTGTCACTGGCAGGTTTAATGAAAATAGATTGCACCCATGTAAATAAGTATTTGTGTAATCCAGAGGAATACTGTAACACAGTATGTCAAGCACAAACTCTTTGCTCATGTAACCGATGATAAGAGTATTGGTATTAGTTTTGTTTGTCTGTATAAAGCATTTAGAGTGGTGAGATGCCACTTCGTTTCAAGTCTCTGTATCCACTCTAAAACTAAGTCGATAAGTGTATTTTCTAAAGCCACATCTTTCATTAACAAAAGAACTCAACAGTCTTGCCACACTTACTTTATAAGCTTAATGAATGAATGACATCATCGCTGGCACCCAGTAAGAGTATTAATGCTAAGTCCTGGCTGTAACTGTTATATCCGAGAAAGAACGGTGAAAATAAAGTCACAGATTCGAGTCATGTCAGTGCAGTGGTGGAAGCAGTGGTCAGACCCTTTACTTTAGAAAAAAGAGAAAATTGTCCCTTATGAGTGATATACTTAATAATATTTTACATTGTTAGGCTGCTAATACTGATGTATTGTACCAGTGCATAAGTAGTATTCTCTGAAAACTAACAGACACAGTTAGGCAGTTCAGTCCAGAGGTTACCAACTGAGGCGTCAGGCCGCCTCCAAATGGTTAAAGAAATCTGAGGGGTCGCCAGCAGATGATAGTGGGCGGAGAGAGGAAAAAACAAACTTCTGCTACATACATTTGTTTGTCTGTTTTTGTGAGATTTTGGAAAATTGGGTCTCAAAATGTTATTGAAATAAACCCATAAGTTTAGAAGGGAAATGTGTATCATAAAAGTTCATCATAATTGTGTTAATGTCAAATCTTAATCTAAAAAGTAACTAAAAACTATGTCCATCAGATGTAGTGGCGTAACAACTACAATATGAAAGGAAGTTGAGCAGAAGTATAAAGTAGCATAGAATGGAAATACTCAAGTCAAGTACAAGCACCTCAAAACTGTACATAAGTACAGTGCTTGGGGTAATGTCGGCTGATAAGTTACTGTGTCGGTGCAGCACTGGACTTGAGTCTGGCCAAACTGCAGAACTAAATTTTCCAGTACCATGTTTGAAGCAAGAGACACAAATAACCTTCAAACTATATAAGTGCACAATGAAACCCTTTAGCATCCCAAAGGTGTAAAACTAATGATGACTCCCACCGTCAATGAGTCACACTTTTTAAAAAACTTTTTCAGTCCAGTTCAGTACGGACTGTGACTATTACCTGAAAAAACGCTCAGATAAAATGTTTCACCTTACAGTATATCCCAGCTGGGAGCAGATCTACAGTATTTTGTGAAAGCAAACTGTTCAACACCGATACAGTTTATGTTGTGAAGGGATCATCGAGGGATTTGGTCTAATTACATTCTGCCACAGCAAGGATTCTTAATCAACCTAATGCGTTTGGTGGTTGCTAACTGGAAAACAGATCTGATATTTCTGCAAGAGAGAATCAGCTTTTTTTATTATTTTTTTCCTTTATGTCTGCCTCTCCTCCTCCACCAGGCAAGATGGTTCGTGTTTCATAGCACCGACAAAACCTAAAGCTTTTAGTGTTGGATACGGGCTCTTCTGTCCTGAGGTAAAAGCCACTACAGGCTGATTTGGTGCCAAGATGCAGTAATATTACAACTCTATTATTCATAAAAGCAGCTCTCGTGGCCAAAATTGTATTCTCATAACAGGCAGAGTTATTGCTGACTAATATTGCTGCTAAAAAGATGCAAAGGAAACAATAATGCCTGTCAGCACAGTGTTGCAGTGAAATATTTCAATAGAAAAAGTGCGATTTGAGGTTAATTTCAGTCAACTCAAAGAAAGTGTGTTTGGCTCAAATAGAGTAAAGTATTTAGAATTATGAATGTGTCCGAAATAATTTGGTGGATAATTATGAACTATGGGATGCGTCTTTCATATAAAGATGATGATTCAGAACCCAAAGGTTTTAGTTACAAAGTCATCACATCAAAGTATGAATAAATGCCTAAACATTAAAATATAGACAAACACTAATATTAGAGTCAGACCATCTGCTTAAAGTATGTGACTACATTTGAGTTTAAGATTGAAGTTCTTTTCCACCTCTGTCAAACAAGCATACACAGAATTTGTACTAGCTAATACTATACTTAACTCTTGAAAATTTAAAAAAAAAGTTAATATTCACACATGGATTAGTTGACTAGCTCATTATGGCTGGAAGAAAACAGAAAAACGTCAGAAATCACAGTGCTGCATAAGATCACTCACTACTGGCACCCATTAACAGAGCTTATCTACTCTGTGTGACGCAGCATGCTGCTCGAACCTCACATTTCACCACTGACACTGCATGCTAGTGACATTGATGGATGGACCGCTGCCGAATCCAACACGAAGCTCAAAGTCACGTCTGCAGCGTTATGCCGGCTTACGGCGGGTGAAACAGCAATACATCTTTAACTAAGTTAGGTCTGAAGATGTGACATGGTTATGATGATTCTGATGAAAAGGTGATTAGCGGTCTCACTCTATGATCTCCAATATCTCTAGTAAAAATGTGGATGGATTTAGGTGAAGTTCAAGGCTTTTAGGGATGCTCAGTTAGATGAAGGAAGGACAGGTGAACAGAATGAACAGATGTGAAAGCAGCTGACTTGGGCCTGTGTGGTTTTATTTTACATCAGTGCTGGGCAGCTAAAAACATATGCTGCTGCTACAACTACGCCTCCTGTCAACACATTAAGCTTCTCAACTCTGCCAGCAGAACACTGAAATGATACAAATGTGTTTTTTACACCATCTAGAGGTCTAAAGGTCCAGATGGAAAAATAGTTCAGTCTTTAGATTTTAATTTAAATAATATCACGTGTTCAAAGCAAATGTAGCACACCACCGACTTAAGAAGAACACATTCGCTTCCCACTATTTCATAAGAATACCTATACACTCTATATGACATGCGATGCCTTATGGTAAATAATATGTCATCAACTGTAAAAGGATTCAATTAACTCAGTTCATGCTAACACACCGTCTACACATGAAAATAGACATAGTTTAGTATAAATGGTGTCCTGGGTCTCTCTGGTTCTTTCGGTTTACCTTCAGAGATGGGGCAGGTCAGGACCTGAGTGCTGTACGAGCTGAGAGGAGCCACTCGGGCTGAGTGCTTCTTCATCCTCCACTGGGGGCCCAACAAACTTTCCTTCCTTGGGAAGCGTGTGTATGTGTGTGTGTGTGTGTGTGTGTGTGTGTGTGTGTGTGTGTGTGTATGTGTGAGTAAGTATGCCCGGGCTGCTGCTGCTGCACGCTCAGCAGCTCCTCCTGCTAGCGCCGTGCATCCTCAGACTCCTAACTCCTCCGTTTCTTCTTCACGCTCTTGATTGGCCCCCTCCTCCCAGGTCTCTGTCAAACTATTCTGTCTTCTTCCCAGCACTCCAGTCCTGACTCTCTGTTCCTCTCCAGGCCAGCGATCTCACTGTTACTGGTGCTCTGACTCTCTTTCTCTCTCTCTCTCTGTCTGTCTGGATAGTGACACAGCTCAGTGGAGATAGCTCAGTG